AAAGCCCCATGCATCGCTAAAAGCATATACTATAGCTTTATTCAGAACGTGTCAGGAAGATCTTTTGACATCTATCTGTATCTATTTGGGACTATTTTGTTACAAGGTGTGTCGAGTAAATTTCGAAATCGTTACCTCTTTTGGCAGTTCAAGAAGAACATAGATCTTAGGGTATTGCTGGCCCCTCAAGCGTGTCTGGTGCCTGCACAGTTACAGTTACTGAGTGCAACCTTTGACAGATCGAAGAATGCCTTTGAGCCAGGGCAGTCACGAGGAAAAACTTGGTGAAACTCTACCCTCCGGAAGTCTTTCAAAATTACTCCCCTTGACCATCAAGGAGCATTAACGCAAAAAGATAAACATTCACACAATAGATGCATTCGGGTGAATGCACCTTTTTTCTCTTATCGGTAAAATCAATCAATCGATTGCGAAAGAATATGAGGAGCCATGTGATCTGCGCGCTTCACTTGTCACATTCCATCACGCGCGATTCCTCTACCAATAAAGTGCTAATAAACAACAATAACTTAAGTGCCAAATTCAACAGCAGTTTCCAGGAAGGACACTATAAAATAATAATCAAACTAAAGCAAAAAAAAAACTTAAATTTGCTTTCCCCTCTCAGAGGGGGAAGAAGTCTTTCAGATCAGTGTGAACGGAACTAATTTTAAGTTAAGTTGCCTACTTTGTAGTCGTGGCAACGTATCTTTTTCAAAAGAGCCGAGGAGCACTTTTAAGTCGAGGAGCTCAACCCCGGGGGGTACTCCCATAAATTTTGGATAGGTGTGTGCCGCGAAGGGTCCTAAACCCTGACCCCATTTAAGGATGAATCAAACGAAAATTGATACCCTATTTAAAGCCCAAACCCGAAAAATGACACCCTACGCAAGGGAAAAACAAAAACTCGAAATAGCTTGAACGGCGACTAACGACTAACCGCCACGGAAAATCACAATCTTTATAAAAATTAACTTTAACAGATCATTTGTTTTCCGCTTAAGTGGGTGTTTACGCACTGCTATTTTAGCTGATACAATTTAGGCACCCTATCTAAGGATCACACCGGGACACTATGCCAACATGGGCGAAAATGATACCCTATTTATGGATCGAGAACCTCAAAAAACCATACTATTACCCTATCCCGCGGCACATACCTATATAGCCCATATAGGGGAGTACCCCCTTCCCCCCCGGGAGCTCAACCGTCCTTACCAGCTTACTTATGCACTATCAAAAAACAATTTCAGCGAACTGAATGTCAATCAAACGTGAATTTTCTTCGGCATATCAGAACACGCAAGATTTGCTGTACGGTACGCACACCATTTTCGATCTACTCGCTTGCTTTCGTATTTGTGGCTTTTGGGCAAAAAAGACATGGAAAATGGAAAGCTCCAACTTCCATCAGTTAATAACAGTAATAATTAGCCCTACTTTCCTCGGGTTGAAAGATGAATGGAGTAAGTGTTCATGTGCTCCCTGGCACATTTACTATAATGAAATTTACAAGGCCGTACCGCGCCGGGATATTTAGGTACAACCAAGCTTTTTGTTCCTTTAGTAATAACTTTAATCCAGGGCAGCCCATGAATGGCTGTCACTTGAAGTATACTTATAGACTTAAATATAGATGCGTTATTGACCAGGCGTGAGGTCAAGATGGCTGGATATTGGCCAAGTTCTTTTTTTTTTTTTGCGTGTTTATGGACCGNAGGCCAATATCCAGCCATCTTGACCGGACAAGTTGGTCAATAATGGATTTAATTATATATTATTTATCAATTTATCATATATTTCGGGACACAGCGGGTACTCCCAAGAGGACCAGCAAGATAGCGCCTCCTTGCCCGCTCGGCTAGTCAATAACAGCGCAGGATTTGGTTTATCTTGCCCGCTCGAGGAGTTAGCCGTATAATGAAGAACGGTAGTCCTACAAGTTCTTAAAAATACTTGAGCTTTAACCATATTTAAGGTCTTGTTACTACGTTAGTGTAAACAGCTATGATACTAAATTTCAAGAAAAAGAAAATAGGAAATATTTGCGAAAATTGGCATGCTTAATCAAGACGGATAACTGGAATATACCAGAGTGTTCAAGAATGTACACGTGAAGTGTTAAAGTTGAATTCGGAAAAACACGCCGAATTCTAAAAGGATATTCTAGGTGTATTTCGAGTCAGGCGTCCTTGAATGCATCAGAATATTTCAGTTTACGTGACCGGCTCCGATCCTTATTCGTGCTCTAAAATTTTTTTGATTCAGTTTTTTGTTTTATTTTGTTTTTTTGCGCCGTGTGAGAAATCGCCGAAAATCATCTGATAACTGAGATTCCAGCACTCACGTGAAGACCTTACTACTGAACTGACAACTCAACTCCCGATTGCCGTGGATTTCTGATCTGCATTGCAAGGTTTACAAATGGCACATTTCATACAGTTACCGTATATACCACTAAATATACAATTACACCGGTGCACATATTGCGTGCGCTTTGCCAGAATACTCCATAGAGTCTGCATTCTATATCACCTGTAACTTCACGTGTTTCTTGAACACTTCACGTGTTCACGCGTGAATTGTCTTTATTAATACACTCGCTCACCGATTGGTGTTTCAAGCAATCTGATTTGTTTGCTATCTCTGGTTAAAGAGCGTTAGTCACTCCCTACCGAGTGAATAATGTGTGATTCAAACAAAAATAAATGGCTGGCGTAAACTCCCGTTTCGCCAGCGTTTCTGCATCGCAAATCCTGAGAATACAAGAAGATGTTGTACTAGAAAATACAAAGAAGACTAAGTAACTTGGCCTGGAGTTTTCAAAGGTAAGAAAAGACTTACCGACGTTCGACGTTCTAACAGTTTCAGAACATGTCCTTGGCAATCCAACATTTTATCAATCTGAGTCAAGTCAGTCCTCTTCACCCGGCATTGGCAGAAGCATCATGCGCGGTTCATCCAAGCACTGACCTCCACAGATATTCAGAAAGTCTTTATGCCAGAAAACGTCCAATTTTCACCACAGCCCTGCTCACATAGTATAATTTCAGGTGAATCTTCGCCAACTGTTCTTTCAGTTCTCATTTTGGGTGAACAGTAAAAATGTTTTACAAGCAGACTTTCGATTTAAATTGCTGATTTAACAATGTCAAAGGACCATTTTGCTAGATTATGACGCTATATTTGAAGATTGTGTAAATAGTTTCGCGCATGTTTTGAATCGCTCGCACCTTTTCCACTCATGAATTAAGAGGTCGATTAAATCTTCTTTTAATGGTTTCCTTCTGAAAATGTTGAGATCGTCTGTTGTTGAGATCACTTTGTGTGTATATACTAAAACATGCAATTATCCTTTTTAATCTCGGTGACTGTTCACCGCGATTTCAAAGAATAATTGTTCCATACTTCAGGCTATGATGTCACGATTGCGTATCACAGACCAAAATATTCTGGCATATTTTCGCTTTAGTGCACTGTGGGCCATGCTCCCAGCTGGACATTTTGCTTTTCTGTGGGCATTTCAAAAAAATGACTTGCGGCGATCCCTGTCAAAGGGACAATTTCTTCAAGAACGATCAGATACGGACAATATTTTTTCTGTGATAATCTTCCAGCCGACCTTGTTTGCCAACGAGACTCGTGAAGCTCTATCCAGTTTAAAACTTATTATTTGCAAAATTCAAAACTGACCACACATAAGACTATACCAAGTACCCATTAACAGGCTTGCATTTTAACCCCAACATGTATACCGACGCTTCGCATTTAACACTTCGATTGGAAAATACTACCAGTTATCTTAACTCATCGAAATTCAATATTCTAAGCTTAAACTTTACTATTACACTACTTTTGATCTGCCCTGACGTCTCTGAAAAAGGCGAGATTCCCTTGTTTCAATATGTTTTAGCAAGACTTCAGTCATACAAGTATTCGCTAATCGTGAGCTGAGTTATTTCCAAAGAATCAAACTACGTAATTCATGAATGTAAACTTGATTTCTTAACAAAATATTAAGGGCAAGCCACTGTAAATAAAAGGATGGGTAACCATCTCTTCAAAACATTTAAATGAGTTTGAAAATGCGAGCTTCCTTTCAGTGTACAAATTTGTTTACTCAGGCGGCTTTATGCATTCGTGCTTGGCCGTGGAAAAAATTTGGACAATCCTCGAGTCAAATTCGCAGTCTTGCTTGTGCAATTGGGGTTTCGTTTTTCGCCATGCACCAACCTTTGTGGCACGGAATGGAATAAAATTTTGATTCACCCGCTAAAGGCTCGTCCTTCTCCGCAATCTCCATCGCCTGTACCATCAAACTGAACTGCGAAACAACTCAGAAAAATCTCGCAATCTGGTGTTACCTGAAACAGGCCGTTAACCCTGAATTTAATCAGTAGAACTGCACCTTTATCGGTGTTAGGATGTGTCACTAAGAAAAGCTGTACATATTTCAAAGTTGATCAGTGAACCGACTTGAGGTAAAGTTTCCATTAGTTTTTGATTAACCATGATTTCAGGCGCAAAATCAATCTGCCCTTCTCTTAGTAGCATAAATTGTGATTCTTGTGCACGCACTCCGGGGTCCTTTTCCTTGTCTCTCCTGCTCTTATCAAGGCTGAATTGAAACTTGAATGGACGTATCTTTCTTCTGTTTTTCAGTCTAGTTTGCTTCACGACCGATGAAAGTACATGACTCAAATTATAGGCTCGATACATGGAAGGCTTTCCGCGCCAGTGTTAAACGTGTTCAAAACATATTTGGGCTGGAAAACGAATTTTGCTTTGGTGGTGAATGCCATCACATGACAGCTTGTTCACTTACTCGACGTTTGGGTTTCATTTGGGTCATTTTTAATACCTACACTGCGATTTTCGTATCATTCAGTTCATACCCTTTCATGATTGTGTTTGTGACTGAGGTAAAACACCATTTAGTTAGTATTTTAACGTAATATGTAGTTTAGTGAACTAAAGCTATTTTCTGCAGATTTTCGAGTTGTACTATAGTCTATACACCATGTGAAATGTGAACTTGGACCAAGGCATTGATTGCACTAAGGTCCAAACTCGTACGCACTATTGCTCAAAGTGAAAACAGTTTTTCCGTGGTCGGGTGAACCGACAACGCTGGGAGAGTCAGTAGAATTTTCGAACACTCTTTGAACACTTAAGTTGTATGTCACGTATTGCGTGCGTTTTGCGAGAATACTCTGGCGGATTCTTGAGCCCGCACTAGACTTGAACTCTTCATGTCTCCATGTTTAAATACTCTTCAATATTCTAGCTGTTAGTATCACGTATGGCGTGCGCCTTAAAAACCCTAGGATACTACGGCACCACGATTGCATATAAGAGGCTAGAATGTATAGTTACAAACATACATAGTTTATGAGAGGAAGCATCCAGCCCAAATGAATTTTGGAGACTGACAAATCAAGGCTTAAGAAAACACAAGGTCAAAAACGTCGGACAATCTCTTGTCCCAATGAGGAGATAACCCAAGACTTAAACAAGGCTGAGTATTTTAATGGCTTCTTTGTAAATATTAGCAAAGATCTCTCCACTGCTGTACTGAGGATATTTTTGCGTTGGCGCGTTATGGGCCATCGGTTAAAACCTCAGCCCATTTCTCTGCTACAGTGTATCAATAAATTCTGCATTTCACGATCACAGCTACCAGTTAAAAAGTACGTAATTCTCAGCTGACAGTTAGAAGTTTATCCACTTCTCAGCCATTATTTAAAGTACTAAGTTGATGTTTGATGGGGGTCAAACCTCTGTAATATACATGAATCGGTCACTTGAGCGGAGGGGCGGGGTTGTTTAAAAACGATCCATCTTCATGATGAAAGTTGTAGTTCCAACATTTAATATTTACTTGCACTCCTATGTGTACTTCACGTTTCACTGATCACGAGAAACTTGGTGCAGTACGGCCTTATTATCCGTGCTAAGAAATACTAGAAAGGTAAGGTGCTAAGAAATGCTAGAAAAAAATAATGCACTTCTAGCTGACTGACACGTGTCGATAAAGGCCTTCTCACGGAACAGTGATCACGAATAGATATTCTCGGTTAGCGCAGTTCACGCTGTCACTCAGCTGGGTGCAATATCTTCCGGTGCTTGTACTACATAGTTTGCAAAAGCCACTGTGTCAAAGTCGGAAATTTCATGGTAGAAACATGTCCACTGAGTCAGTAGCGTTAATTGCTAACTTGCAATACCGTAACCCCCCTCCAAGACACAGATAAATTTGAAAACAAATAAAGCGCATGGGTAGCTTTTATTAATTTTTCCCACTGCGTGAAATTCTTGAAAAGAGGAAATGTAATTAAATTTAGTTAGAGTATTTATTCTACCCTTGACCCTGCAATGAACGAAACGGTGGGGTAGTTAAGACAAAATGAACAGCACCAGTCTTCGGATTCAACACAGCAATGCAATTGATCTGTTCACTATTGTCCCTGTTGTCCATTTTAATACTAAAATCAATCCTTCGCTACTCGAGGTTGTTTTCTACCGCTTTACTTTTACCCTGAGAGGATTAGTGTTAAAACGGCTAGACACCAGCAATAAGGTTCTGAAATATAAATAGATCATTTGCCCTCCTCTAAGACTCCTGCGGTAAAACATTGTACAAAGGCCAAGCTTTAAATTCCTCTACTTCGTGATTGTCCATTTCAATACTTTAAAGGTTTTAGGATTAACCGTCAAGATCAATAACCTATTTTGTGCATCGTCGTCAGGTCAATCCAGTCTTTAAATTTGGGCAACCACAATGTAAATAACACTCACTTTGCCAAAAATGTCTTGAAATTACTGAATGGCGACACTGTTAAAACCTCGAAGAATTCTGTAAGGTTCTTTTCAATCAGCACCCTGCAACTTCCTTTGCCTGTTTGAGTTCTCTGAGGAGGTTTAAACGGTATTATTATCAGTTGTTGTTGTGGGGCCAAGAAAACACCGTGACATGGTATCGCTCTTTGACAGTCAGTCCTTGTCAAACCCTTAAACTCTCAGGAGATATAAGTGATGTACTTTAAGGTAAGAAATATGTCTGGGATCGGTATAGGCGGATTCTACGGATAGAAAGCCGTAATATGGGGTTATACTAGCCCCAAATGAAACAAAAGCCACGAAAATTGAAATAGCTTCATTTTTTTTTTAATTCCTCCCCGTAACGAGTGCGAGTAGGGGGTGGAATCACAGATTACAAAAAAAGACAATTTCACCTTGCAAATTTGCATTCTGCAGTGTGTTTCATACACTCAGACTGTCGGACAATGCGGTCTCAACACTGTTTCAAGTACTCCAGCACTCTAAATGATTAATTGCCGCTTTTTGATCTTTGTTGAAACCACTTGGAACTATTGAGCAGTATTAATGTTTGACGTTTCCAGATCTTCTGATACGATGAACCTGTTTGCTTGGAAAACTTGAAGCCGTTCAGGAAAGTTCTGCATACGTCTGCAAGGCCAAGCAAGGAAAACAAGATGGAAGGTCGTAGCCCCCTTTTTGGGAAGACGAGAAGTTTCTGGTAGGTTACATGTTTGAATGTCATTGTGATACTAAAAACAATCGTCACCGAATCTTGTTACAGTAGGCAAGGCAAGCAATCGATTTATACGGCAGGACCGAACGTTGCACAATGTTTGTTTATAAGACTGAGACTGACCGATTTTATTGTCTAGAATGATTGATGGCATTCCTGAATTTCTTTTTTTTTTTTTTTTTTTTCCCTCTCTCAAGCCGCTTTCGTGTTCATGGCCTATGATCTGCGATGGTTTTGTTGCCCTTGAAAACCCTCATATTTGATAAACTTCCACCCAATAAGTTGTCAAAGGAAGCTGTGAGAAACAATTAGGCGTTGTGAATCAGATATTCGCTTCTTATTACGTTTCTGTCCTAAAATAATGCATTCTTGCAATTTATGCAGAATCTCAGACTAGCAGTTAGATAAACCGCAACCTAAATAAACTGTCGCCTGAATAAAACCTAGAAGAGTAACATACTATTACTAGGAACCCCTGCAACTAAGGGTAAATTTGGAAGAATGTCAAGAATGTTTTGGTTACGTTCCACATGAGGCACGACGCGGCATTTGGCTCGTCTTTATTCTGCCCCACAATTAAAAAAAAAACCCTGTTAGTTTGAAAAAAAAGCCTCCAGAAAGCATTTGCACCAGGGTTATGCAATATTAAGTCAGGATAAATGACCGAATTAAGGCCAAAAACCGACTTACCTATGAGGGTTATTTCTCTCAGTGCATTATGAGTGTTAACGAACACTTTTCAAATACGCGAAGCTATTCAAATGGTGTGTTCGTAGTCCTCTTTAAGTTTAAATTTCAGTCGTTGCATCCATTTTGCGTGTCATGAACTCTAATTCAGTTTGACATTATTAACTACCCTTCAGCAACGTGCACATTCCAGTTATCATCAGACCCATTTTACACAAATTGATAAATCAATCTCAGAAAAGAAAACAGTCACTCCCAAAGGAACGTGGAAATCCAAAATTCAGGTGGGAGAACCTTGAAACAATATCTCGTCTGAGATTTGCCTCTCAAACCACTTCAGTTAGACACGGTTCATCATAATCAACGTAACCAAAACACAAATATTTGTCTATTTCCGTTCTTTTTCACTCCGAAGTCCAAACTGGGAATGTTTAAACGACGTTTAAGCTCAAAAAGCAAGATTGCCTTTCCAGCACGTTGGGTGGGATTAGTTCTTTGCCCAAAGCTAGTTGGGTTTAATTTCAAACCGACGACGGCGACGAAATGTTAAAGCGTTTTTTCTTTTTCTTTTCTTTTTTTTTTTACTATTATTATTTCGCTTGACCTCCGTGGAGCAATACTGACTCGTCGTGGCAGAACTACTTCAGGGCCCAAATGATTTGGTAACGAAGTATCTTGAGTACTATCTTGAATACTCTCTGTTGTTAAGTGCCATTTGGTAAACGAGTTATTGCGTGCCAGTAATTTTAATTTCAAATAAAATTTATGGTCGCCTTGAATAAACCATCAACAAAATCTCATCAGTCATGCCAATGTAAATTTCGATGATTTAATCCTTGAAAAGGACCCTTTGCCGTCGATTGATTTCAGCTGATACCTAACAAAATAAAACAGCCGCAGACAGGGAAGTCAAAGAAAGCATCATTCAAGTGGGCGAACAGTAGTTGGCTTTCTTGCGACAAAGCGCTGCGTATGATTTTGATTCTGTTTATTTGTTTCTTGCCATAATGTCATAATGTAATTAACCCAAAACCATTCAGTTTGTAAACAAGCCAAAAGTGCAAATCGATTTTCATATGGCTCTTTTACACCATGTTCTCCGTCTCAACACGAAATCCAAATTGGATACCCTGTGTTCCGTTTTGGCTCTTGTCATTTTTACGAGTTTGATGATGATAAATACCCTAAGTACTTGAGCTGTTCGAACTGAAGCAGGCGTTGTCACAGGAACAAATACGAAACCTGAATCTACGTGGGTGATCCTTGCTCACATACTTAGCCAGACAAGGTGTCGTTTCTTTCTTGTAGAGCCCGATTGGTCGTAACAGTCTTGTTTGTTTGTTTTTTGTTTGTTGGTTGGTTTGTTTTTTTTTTTTGTTTTTTCTAAAACGTCTCTTTCGTTCAGAAACAAAACCCGAGCGATATGCATCAATTAGTGCCGTATAGTTTTCACTGAGCCATTGCCTGAGCAATCAGCCAAACTAGGGTCACTCGTGTTCATTCGGAACCACAGTCTTCATAGATTGGAAGTTTCAACACGAAGACATCATGTGACCATTTTACTCACCAATCTCTCCCAGAAGAGGGCATAATGAGGTCACTCCCGACATAAATAGAATGAGATTAGTAGCACACATATCTAGTCAGAAGTGTTCGCAATTGCTTGCAACAATCATTTCCATCTCTTGAGATGAGGGCGACAGATTAGTAAGTCACTTAAACACGCAGCCTGTGTTTTCTACTTAAGTGTCTAACATCAATTTGTGATGCAAGGCTTGTATCAACTGTACCCTTGACTAAGCTGAACAAACATTGTTTTTTTTTTTCTCTTTTAGCATAGCTATCCTTGGGATCGCAATTTTTGCCAGATCTTGTGAAAGCAAAGTGGATCCCCCTCAACCGACGTCACCAGGTCAGTTATTGGTTTATTGGCTGACAGACTAACTGAAGCTGTTAGGTCGATCTACATTCATTCTACTTCACATATCTGAATCCAGACTGCCCTTAAACCTGGTCTACAAGAGTTAGAACGTTCGAAGATATCATGCTGTAAGGAAAATTGTCGGGTAACAACAACACTGAATAACAACTAGCTTTATTTGTATGACCATAAATACATACTGAGTGTTGCAAAAGCTTTTGTAAACTAAAACTAAAACACTGATAGAGCTTTTCCGTAAAAAGAACCTTACAAATGTAAATATGCATTTCACGACCTTAGGCATGTCAATGAGATGGCTATTGTTTCTCTTTCAAGAAAGAACCGCTACCTCGCTACCTTCGCAAATACCTTATGAAACCAGATAAATTTTAAAAGCACATTGTTGCTTCTCAGATATAGAAGACCTTCACAAAATCGTCGTAACAAGACTAACGATCGTAAATCGCCGGCTAGATACAACGCTGTTAATTTACATGATAGCTTTGTCGAGACTGTTTCTTCTTCGCTACAGTTCTTGGAATAAAGAAATATGGCGTTCAGCAAGAAATGTTCAAAATTCTACGACGACTGATAAAAGCCATCGTCCCTGACACCATATTCCCGACACGTAATTATAATCCTTCAAATGTCTAAAACTATCGTCACTCGTTTACTCGTTTACGAGTGTCGATAAAACGCTGAAAACAATTATTGTGTTCAATAATTTCTATTTTTTAGTCTGCTACTGTTACTCGATGCGCCATAATTTAAGGTGAGCTCTTTGAAGGTTTTGACATTTAGCAACAGGCCTTATAATCGAACGGGCGGGGAATTTACGTGTCTCATGTCAGAATGGGTACATTTGCATCTGTACGGTTATTGTACGGAAAAACTCTAATGATTGTCGTGAACATATGATAAAGTTATGATAGTTATAGCAATCAAGTTACATCGGTTTGAATTGAAAGAAGGAGTATTGGCAGTATTGCGCAGATCAAAACAAGATGAAATGAATTTTGCTAATTAAATATTAACGTAATGATTTGTAGAAGTCATGAGTTTGTCGGTAGCTTGTAACGAAGATAATTGTTTAAAAGTCGGAACGATATTCTCTATTTTTCATCTTTTTTTATTCATCTTTTAGAGGCAATGTATAAGACATAAGTGAGATTCATCTTCAATTTGATTATATTCACAAATAGGGCAGAGTCTGTTAACCCTTGGAATTTGATCATCTCTACCAGATTCAATCCTTAGTTTGTGATTACCTATCGTACATTTTGCAAGTTCTTTTCTTTCGCTTAGTTTGCTTGTAAAGCCTAAATAAGAGGAAGGTGTATAAGAAAGAAACGATTATTTTCAACAGGGTCTGTGCTACTTGAATAAGTCGTCAGTAATCGTTCTGACGCATTCATCAGCTACTATTCTTTGTTAACACAGTCAATCAACATTTCACCATTTTATTTTATCGGCTCTCAGTTAAAGTCAATTGTCGCACTCTGTAAACTTGAGTAAGGCAGGATTCTGCTTGAACTAAACATGAAAACATGGACTGTTTTACAACCGCCCTTCCGGACAGACAAAAACTATCGCATTAATTTTCGCCGAAATCCAACACTGTCTAGCACATATACATCCATCGTATGCACAAGGCTTGTATTGATTATTAATTTTCTTTAGACGAAGAGCAAAAAACGAACCGGCGAATGTCGGATCCGTCGAAGGTTCCCAGTAAGACAAAGTCAAAATGGTTAAGAGCGCTGTGTAAGCTAGAGGTTTGTCCTAATGGACATAATTTTCCGACATCTTTGTCTCCAAAACAACAAAGTTGATACCGGTATTAGAGCGCCCATTGCGTAATTATACTCTTTTTTGTTTAAAAGAATATATATTATAGGATTATCGAGGCTGAAATTTGTGAAAAGAATAAAATTTTGTATATTGAAAATTTGCAAATACCATACAATCATATGTTTTTTAACTAAACCGTATAAAATTCCTCCTGTTTCTCAGTAAACAGCAATAATAGCCTAAAAACGGCAAACTCGGCACTAGCCGTATGTTCGCTGCGAAAATAACATTTTTGCAGAAGTTATGTGTGTCATCTTCGGCTTTATTGCCTGCAGTCTGGCTCCAAAATTGCTTCAACGTCATCAAAGTCACGATAGGACAGATAATCTGACGTTTTGTTGGCAAAGTCCACTCTGTATTCCTTTCACTAATCTAAGAATATTTACAAGAATATTTTCAGCCTAAAATCGGCAGGAATATAAGAATGCTTGTTGTCTAATCACTCTGCAGTGAAACCAAAACAAAATAATTTCTAACTTAGTACAAGTAAGAAAACATCAGTCCTATGGGAGGTGGTATCTCTTTTACTGATCAGACATGAACAGCCCTAACATAGTTTATTACAATAAACATAAGCGGTCCAATGATAGTTATTAATACAACAAATGTACTGAACAAAAACACGGAAATTTTACTAAAACAAAAATTTCCAGAATGAAGAGATCAAAAATGGAGATGCTGTCGAGTGACAACTCCTAACCACAAACTGCTTAAATATTTGCTTCTTAGCATAATTACGTAACCTGCATACCAACGAATCTAAATACCGCCACACAACTATCTTACAATAACAAAGTGAAAAATTATGTTCAGCCTGAGAAATAATATTCTTATAAAAAAAAGAGTGTATGGGGTATCAGTGAAGTGTCTCCTTCTATAAACTAGTCTTCCAAATTTGTTCAAAGTTAGTACGGTCAACCACAATAAAATTGTAATCGACAATTCTTCACCGGATAATTATATTACGGAGCAGGTGTTAGTTTCAGCAGCAGTATTTTTCAAGGCAATATTCGTTGCATATTTTCCAGAGATATTATACCAGATTGCGAAACTGGGCGAATTAAGCAATTTCATAACAAATCGCTTATTTTTAACTACTCCCTAAATATAACCCTAAATACAATGGTGGCTTATCTAGAAGTTTCCCACTGAGATCAGAATAGTCGCCAAGACTTGATAGATTAAATACGTGAAATTGGTTATTTCACAACAAATTGCTAATTGTAGTATTTGCTAAATTTAACAAACTGTCCAGAAGTTTCCATTGAGATCAAAACAAAATAGTCGTTAAGTCTTCATAGATTAAATACGTGAAACTGGTTATTTCATGACAAATGTAGTATTTGCTAAATTTAGCAAACTGTCGGTCTAGAAGTTTCAATGTAACATTAGAGAATTAGGTGATTTGACGGCCAATTGCTAAGTTTAAAGATAATTGATTTTAGAGACTGGTCTTCAGGTTAGATCAACAATCCTTTTAAGTCAATAGTCCAAGTTAATCCCGCAATTTGAAGTATTTCCTATTTTTACCATACTGTGTTGTTTTAGCTTAAGTTAGTCCATCTTTTCGATATCAGGAGAAAATTGCCCAAATTAGCTCCGCATTTGATAATTACAACACGGCCGTTCACAAATTAAAACAACAATCAGCAATTACGAAATAGAAAACACGTACCGTGTTTCTATCGAGTTATAGAAATACGAGTGGAACTTTGGGAGAACGAGAAATGCTGTGGGAACACGAGCCGCATGCAATTGCCATACAATTGGAATTGTCCCAGGGATAATAATTATATCCTCCTGTTCTATCGTATTCGTTTGAGTGGACGGCTCGGGTTGTCAAATTTGGGGATTTCTGGCAGTAAGTCAGCTGATAAGTCTTCTCTTTAAGACCGGGATAACGGCAGATAAGTTTCTTCGTAAAACATTTCCTTGTGAAAAATTCTGATCGGCTGGTCGCAACCGCCGCCCTAAAATTTCTGAAGGATTTGGGATCTTTCAGACTGTCACTGCGGCTTTGTAAGATCCTCGTGCAATTTGTGACATTTAGGCCCTTTTCTGGACACCTTGAATCCGTTCTACATTACCCACGGCAGCAGTGTTTGCTTTCTAACATTATTTAAGCTGATCAAAAGCCTAGCCCACCAATCTTTCCTTTTTCGCCTGACTTTCTGGTCTAGAATACAACGCGCCCATGCAAACCCTTCTACCGGACTGTAATTCTTGTCAGAGTCATGTGGGGGGTCTCTGGTGATGTAGTCTATCATTAGAAACTGTGCATGACGTTGTTATACGGAAGGGAGTAACCAGACGGTGGGCGTATAAGCAGATTTGTTAACCGTATTCAGGGGCACCCAACGGATCGTTCCGGTAAATTATCTGTTCGGAAGGCCTTTAATCCCCTCTGATTTTCTTGAGAGAATTGGCACCTCAGACTTTCGTGATATGAGAAATTTAATGTCTGTTGTTTTCGGACTGTTGAAAATGTCGTTTTGGGTACCGAAAAAAGGTAAGCTATCATTTTCGGAAAGGCGTTAAGACCTAAGGTTTTCGGGAAATGGACAAAAAAGCCCTAATAAATTCGAGAATACTCAAGTTCCCCTAGAATATCCGAACAGATAAAATTTTTTTAGTGCAACCTAAAATTAACCCACAGAGCTTTAAAAAGTACTCCAGATAGCCTAAAACAGCGTCTAACAGCATTCGAGAGAAAACGGTCGTTGGGTGCCCCTGCGTATTCTCCAGTTTGGAAGTTAAGCCTAACTTAACGGCTTATGACTAGGCGTAAGCCTTGAGCTGAAAGGATAACAGGATATGGAAGCAAAAGGTTGAGTGTATCAACCAACACCTGAACGACAATTAGAACTGTGTAACTGTTCGAACTGAGTGAAGACAACGTCAACAATGAATATCTGACGTCACTACGTATGTCATTGGCTCAAGGATACGGTTTTCAGGCATGCCACTCAAACAAACCAAATGAATGTTTCAAAATAGGCACAACAAGTTAACATTATCAAATGGCAGAAAGCTTCTCAATGGATTAGCTATGCTACAGAGCGTTGAGTTTGGGATTACCGAGAACAAATCCAGCTACTGGAATAGTGGAGGTTGAGAACGGGAAAGCCGAATTGTTGTTTTTTCGACCAGTTGCTTTTGTTGGGAGAACAATGCAAGGGGCGTGTTTTCAGCAGCCAGTTGGTAACTGCTCGATGAGAGTGGCCAAAGCACCGAAAGGTTACAACGAAGTTTTCTTTCCTTTTCGTTTACAGCTGTTACTGCCAAGCCACCGCAGTGCTCGTTTAACCACATCAACTACAACGTGGGAGAGATCTGGAATCCATTTCTGTTACCGAAAGGATACTATCGCTGCAAACGTTGTATCTGCAAATTGGTAAGTGCTACATATGGGGTGTGACTAAACTGTGCATTCAGCATCGTAACAGTATGATAATTTTGTTCAGTTCAATATTAATAAGTAGGAGATAGAGTAACACCCCAACAGAACCACAAGGCTGTCTATAAAAGTGGAAAAAAGAAAGACAGAACACTGCAGTCGCACAACAAATGGTGTTGACAATATTCCGAATACAGTTGTAATCTTCTATCGACCAAAGGCGTTAGTTTTCCAAATTCGTTTCTCGATTGGCAGTCCGATTTGTCATAGATGGAAAGTAAAGAGAATTAGTCCTGAGGAAATTTATCTAGCACTCCCACGATCGGCATTACTCATTTGCTGAACTTTATTCTCACTCACCGGGAACTCTACGTAGCCCTCGAACATAGTTTATATAGAGTTTACCTCACCTAACTACACTGTAATAGTTTTTATCAGGGAATTTACAAATCGATGACGTTCAACAATCCAGCAGCGTTGTCGTGCAAAAGTCGTCCGTTCGTAAAGTTAACAAATTGACGTCAGTTTTTCATGCGTCTGTCCTGTTATTGATCATGAATTTCGTCATAACATTGTTAAAGTAGCTGTGGATCCACAAGGCGACAGCCGAGTGGATCCGCAAACTACTGCAAATAACAAATTTTGACGAATTGTCAAATTGTCCGCTCTCAATCGTTGACGCATCGCATAAATTATAAATTCCTGTCTCTGTCCGCTTATTTACAATGAAAATTAGCCAATGAGCGCGCGAGAATTTCTGCAGTTATCGTAAAATTCTTATTTTCCTATTTCCCTGAGGTTTTAATTTTGCAGTACGCCGATTTACTCTCGAAACAGTACACAAAAGGAATTTTCCTCAGTACATTTCGAAACGTTTTTAGCTGTGTCTGGCTAATTGGGTTTAACTGCTAATCAGGAAAGTAAAGGTTACACGCGTTTACCTGAAATGCATGTTATCTTACATGGCCTCAAAGTTGTAAAAGAACCGATGTAAACCAAAGTCCAAACAACACTCTTTTGAACGAGCTTATCAGCTTAGTTGTCCCTTATTGTGGGATAATGGGTCTTGTCCTTGCCAATTGGATATAGAGGGAACTCAATAATTTTTTTTAATACGTACCTCACGCTTTTAAATAACATATGCAAGTAAATGAACCAGCTCGCCCGAAGTCTCCCCGTAACAAGAGACCACGATCATGGTCTCTTGCCCGAAAGGGGCTTAGAGCATCCGTCTGATGTGTGTGAAGGTCATGGGTTCGACTACCTTGAGGACTCAGATTTGTTTTATTTTCCTACACTCGTGCATGACAACAGAATGTAATCTTTCTCATCGCTTTATGTTTTCAGTCAAGCGATGGCGCCTTGGCAATAATAGACTGCGAAGGACGACGGTGCAGAAAACCGTCATCGCATGGTATGTAAACGTTTTATAGTTGAGAAAAAGAACTGAATTGCAATGGTCGGTCGCTGGTTTAGTGCCAGTACTTGACAAGTGCCATCAAAAGTTTTAGAAAACAGGACGGCAGTTTCCTCGACAAAAAGTCGCGATTCTAACCTACCTTAATCTTCTTAATCATTAGCCATTCTAAATTTATTCAGTTTACTCAGTTTATTTTGTACCTACATGGTGTTTTGTACCTTGGTGACCAAATATCTGGAGGTTGCCTTCGTTCACTGCAACAAATGGCTTGATGCATGGTAACATAACCAGTGTAATTCTTTTCAAAATATAGCCATCGCCGTCTTCGTGCTCAGAGATGTGTACAGATCAATGGTCAACGAGAATAAATTTTATCTATTCTTTCTTTATTATCAAGCAAATAGAGAAAAACTTGTTTCGACACTGTGCACAAAGACAAAAGATTCTGAGTTTACTACATGTAAATTACATCTGACAACAAAATCAACAATTAAAACCATATCGTTAGACCAGAGTTGCCTTTTGCAAACGGTAGTCTCCTAACTGCTAGCTTAACGTTTAAGGAACGATTTCCCCTTTCCAAACATTAGATAGAGGCCAAGTCAAGAAAACTCTACATGTGGAAACTTCACCTTAAACTCTTGACTTATTCATTTAACTTTCAGCAAATCCCGCGCATAACGAACAGCAAAGTAATTGTAGTCACCAAGGTACCCTGCGGAGTCATGGGACAGTGTGGAAGGTGTCTACCACGGGTCTAAATGTCACGCTTGCCAATCACTGCATGGAGTGTAGCTGCACGGTTAGATTTTCTTCAGTCTAGTAATTAAAATATAAAGTTATTTGAACATTCGTATAACAAAACATAAAAATATCATCAGAATACAAGTGACCTTCAAGTGAAAGACTGCTATATGCCAATGTTGATTTCTAAAGGTGGACAGTCAAGGGACTGTACAAACAAGAACAAGTCAGATTATCATTATTGCGTTTCGGTTAGAAATTTTGAACTGTCTTTCAAGACTTTCAAGACGTTCCGTTTATTTCGACAATTTTCCGATCGGTCGAGCCAAAATTATCCTACCATTTATATTGACAGAAATCTCCGGGTAAATAGTCAACCAAAGACTAAGTTAACTACAAAATTCGGCTTGGTTGTATTTCCAAGTACGGTTTATGTCGGGCGAAAACCACCACAAAAAGATTTGTTTACAACCAGTTCCAGCAACAAAGCAGGTAAGTGTAAACGTTTCTAAGTATTTTAAGAGGTTGGCGAAATTTATAAACTGTACTAACAGTAGGGTTTCGAATCAAGAAAACTATTTATAAAATTATGTTAAAAAATGTCGTCGAAAAAAAAGCTTGGCAAGTGCCATCAAAAGTTTTAAGCGGCCTTCACACGGCAAACTTAAGTTGGCAAACTCGTGTTGCCAAACTTCCAAAAGTTGGCAAACTCGTACCTTCACACGTCAAACTCGTGTCAAATCACAACACACGGTAATTTGCAACATGGCCGACTCAGTGCAGTGGCACTCACGTACAAAAGTGAAACAGAAGAAAAGAAGAGAAGAAACAGAAAGCAGTGGAGAAATAAAGGTTTGGAGGAAACCCAGTTTGTCCGCTAGCTTCCCCATTTTCTTTTGTTTGTTTTTACGGTATCGTTGTAGACTACAAATGAAATGCCCCACACAGCTGGACAATTGTGAACCTCTTCGATGAATTTAAAGGTGGCCTCGTGTTCATCTTGAATTGCGTCCGCCATTTTGTGAAGTGTCACGCAAATGAATCACGTGAATAGAGCGCGCGTTTTGATTGGCTGACAGTTAACAACACATGTCTGCCAATCGTTCACACGTCAGAAAAGAGTTTACCAACACGAAACAGTTGGTGAAAAAGTTGGCGAGAATAGAGGCAAGTTCTACTTGTCGCCAACAGTTTGCCAACGTGTTTACCGACTGTATTTGTGCTGTTCACACGCACCAACTTCAGTTTGCCAACACGAGTTTGCCAACTTTAGTTTGCCGTGTGAAGGCCGCTTTACAGCCGGACAACTGCGAACCTCTTCGATAAATTCAAAAGTGGCCTCATGTTCATCTTGAATTGCGTCCGCCATTTTGTGAAGTGTCACGCAGATAAATCACGTGAATAGAGCCCGTGTTTTGATTGGTTGATAGTCAACAACACATGTTTGCCAATCGTTCACACGTCCGATACGAGTTTACCAACACGAAAAAGTTGGTGAAATAGTCGGCGAGAATAGAGGCAAGTTCTATTTGTCGCCAACAGTTTGCCAACGTGTTTGCCGACTGTATTTGTGCTGTTCACACACACCAACTTGAGTTTGCCAGCGCGAGTTCGTCAACTTTAGTTTGCCGTGTGAAGTCCGCTTTAGAAAACACGACAGCAGTTTCTTCGATAAAAATTTGCGTACTGCATTTCGGCAATTTACTTCAGCATAAATCTTCGAGGCAGCAACTGTCCGAAAAAAATGTTAAGGGTAAACTGAAATAATCGTTTCCATAGATCAACAAATCAACCACTTCCACCGCTGTTTTTAACTTGCATGCTCCTGTTTATGGAGTGATGAGTAGTGTGCATAATTACCTCGCCGCTATGTCCACCGCTAGCCAGGTTTATGCAGTAAATAATAGTTAAAGACAAAGCATCTGTCCGTCAAAACAATAACAATGTCACAATTAACTCTTCTGTAATACACAAGCCGGTTTGTTACGAAAAATTTGGCTTACAAGTAATTATCCGACATATTAGTGAATAACAACAAAAGCGACTGAATCGACACGAAAAGCGGCAAATAATTTAAGCTTACGATGTCCAAGAACCGACACAATTTCGTTCCAAAAGTGAAACATGTTCTCACCATAAGTTCATTAGTTTTAGCATATTCACCAGTAACTGAGCTTGTTACCTTTCTCGAAGAGGCTTGATTAATCCTAGCTCATTTGAGAAAGCGAAGACGAATGCTGTTCTTTGCTTCAATTTAATCCTTGTGGCTTCCCAAAGCTTGAAATCCTTGCTCGACTGTTTTGACTTGTACAGGGAATATTCACCTCCGAAATTATTACGGATCATTATTGAATCAAAGCGTTTGTAGTAATTTTGTTCGAAACAAACGACTTTCGAGGAAACCGTTAAGCAAAATTTCCAAAGCAAATTCTGTTTCGTCGGCTTTCTTCACGTGTTTCACGCAACTCACGCTGAGAAAACTGGACGCGGCTGCCACTCAGTTTCCCGCCTTTTATATAACCATTCATTTAAGCCACACTGAAATGTTTATACAAAACAGTAGTCAACCGCAAAATGGACCTTTTCATAAAAGGCAGCCAATTATAAATTATTTAGTAAGTATTAAAATAAGCCTTACTAACTTCGTTTTTAAGTTGATAATTCAAAAAAATATTTAATCTCAAACGAGGTGAGGCTAATTTAAAATGCATATAAAAGAATTTTAAATTGGCAGCCATTTATGAAAAAGGTCCATTATATGCTCATGCGGCACAAAATAGTAGCATTTGTACAGTTTATCTTGATCTTTTCACTTCGCCTGATAATGACGTTCAGTTAATATCGAAACGTCGAAGCTAAAAGTAAAACGATTTCAAGCAACCTTTTATCGCACGTATTCATAGTGTAAAAATTGCTTGTTTTGATTGTTTTCTGATGCAGGATAGTTTTGTGACCTGCGCCATCAGAACATGTCCAGTCCTTTCCTGTGTGAATCAAACAAATACAGACGGAACATGCTGTCCTGTTTGTGCAGGTAAAATGAAGCAGTAGGTCATCCTGTCTGCAGCCTCTCTTACAAGCAATTTTCAAAACTTGCGCTTGATTAATAATTATACTAGTCTTGTTGTCTCCAGCCTTGTCACGCAATGACGTGGAATGCATCACGAAAGCAAAACGCCTCTTCGCATGCACTACCTTCTCAACCCTTATCACTCATATTTCTCAATCTTAATTAGTTTCTAAATTTGGTTTTATTTTCATTTTAGAAAGTTTACCAACACTGCGAAATCCAGTGGGTATGTTAAGTTGATACTTATAATTTACCCTATGTATAAGTATGCTTTGAACACAAACCAGTTTTCCAACAGTTTTAAAAAAGATTAAACTTCCTTAAGAAACTGTGTTTAAAAATCTGATCCCCTAAGTAAATTAAAAAATTCCGCGCTTCGTTTTTGCGTTACTTTCGCTGTTAGTAATTTATCTACATGGTACATGTCCATGGAATATTAATAGCCACTCAGTCGTGTTCTTGTGGAAGTCCACGAATCGTATTGGTTCTCTTATCGTTTTCTATTTAAGCAATAGACCACTCTTTCTGTGGGCTCACCGGCGCAACAAAACCACGCGGGATTTTGGAAGAACACTTGAAAAGCTTGTAAATCACGTGCCGTTAGGCTGTGATTTACAAGATTTTCGAATTTCTCGAGTTTTCTTCTTTTAGTGCACAGAATTGCAGTTTTTGTGCTGTTATTCTTTTGAGTGTCTTCTAAAACAGTTATGCTACTCACCCTCGTTATCTATGAATGTTGTTTAGCGTTGATTTTTATAGCTTTTTTATCCTTTAGTAACAGTTTCCAAGATAGTTGTTTTTCGCCATCTGCACGTTTTCTTATAGGCTGCCAAACAATGGGTAGATACTACGATCATATGGAATCCTGGTATCCCAGAAGACCTCCAAGATACGACATGTGTATCAACTGCACTTGCAAGGTATGAAATTCAGACCTAACGCTATTTGCAAACATCGCTCGAAACAAGCTAAGTAGTTCGGAGCAAATTAAGTTTGTTACATCGGGACATAAAAAAGACGTACTTTTCTCGTAGCGGTTCGTCGCAATGAACATTCTCTGTTGTAGAGTTTACTGTAGTATTCGCATACGTGTGTGCTTGGGAAGATTACAGAGAGGAAAATAGAAGGTCTTCAATGGACGACAGGAGGACAGACGATCAAAATCGAAGAGCCTCCCCACCTCCCCCTTTCTTCTTTGCGGCGTTCCCTGAGCACCATATCTGCCATAACCCCCTTGAAATCCTCTGCAGAGGAGAAAGTGTTATAAGCTTCAGTTACTATCCAACTGCAGCGAACACCGTCCAAATAACAGTACAAATATACAGCAATATCGTACAGTTATTTGTACAGGAGAATTAACAAATTGGCGTCAGTTTTTTAGGCGTCTGTCCTCTTATTGATGGTAAATTGCGTCATAACATTCTCAAAGTGGCTGTGGAACCACGAGCTCCAGACGAGTGGTTCCGTAGTAAACTTTGACAATGTTATGACAATGTTATGACGTTGTTTGTATTTTGACGAGTAGGGCTCGTCAAAATACGGCACAACTCGTAAAAATATACAGCGATACTACACACCAAAACATCTAATAAGATATATACATATCCATCACTTCGACTAAAATTACGCTATAAATGGCCATCAAAATAACCAGTGAAAGCGCCTTCCTTGTTTTGTAATTTTGACTAGCCGCGTGGGCAGATTTAACAGTGTCCAGATTCAACAGTGTCCAGAATTTTCCCTCTTTCTGTCTGTCTGTCTGTCTGTCTATCTATCTGTCTGTCTCTCTGTCTGTTTCTCTATTAGCAGCGCTTTTAAAATCGTTATCTGCGATTGAAACCATGATGCTTACTTTATTTTATTCCTTAGAACACTTCAATAGAGTGCAGCCTTCCAGAGTGCCCCAAGATAACCTGTGTTAATCCTCAACGAAAACCGGGAGATTGCTGTGAGACCTGCCCAGGTATTACATCGAAAACTAATAAAATTCTGCCCCAGTGACTCAACCAGTGCCAGACTGCCATTGGCTACTTTCATCCAGTCGATGGATTCGTTTCGTGCGCAGAAATCAAACGAATTTTCGATGAAACACTTTTCCATTCGGCGCCATACTGTTTAGAAAATATGCGTACACTTTCCTAACTTTTGATGAAAATCTGAAGATGAAGTATAACTGGACAACTGATTACTCGTTCGATCTTGGTAACCGAATACGCTCCCATTGTTCGCACAGATCATTAGTATTTAATAAACTTCTCAATCAATTAACTAACGCTTTTTTATAATTATGCTAATGAACTAATTGCTTAATACATTAAGCTGCTGGGTTAAACTTGTAATCTCTCCGCTTCTTCCCCTGTTAACCATAATTTATTTCAGCAAACTCGGTAACCGCGTCGGTGAAGGAGCAGCCTTCTTCCAGTCCTGCGAATAGCATCAGTATGTTGATACGCTATGGATTCAGTCGACGAGGTAAGAGCTCGTGACAAAAGACAAGTGATAATCGGTCACATTGCCGAAAGATTTCTGTTTTGGGTTAGCTGAAAGAACTGACTACACCCTTTTTTGTTTATTTTTCATGCCCAGACTGAAAATATTCATGTACCATTTTACATCACAGCCGTACACTAGGACGATAGTATGTTTGTCTTGTAAATTTATGTAAAGATCGATAAGTTCCCGAAGTGTATGCAGCGTTCATGCCAAAACAATGTTATTTCGTTGTTTTTCACTTTAAATCAATATGCAAAAAATGTTCTTAAATTTTAATAATTTCAGTCCTGGCATATTCGTAATATTTCGCCACTCTCGGCATAATTATATTCATATAAAAATAATTCTTACAAAAGAAAAAGAGTATTTTCAATATGGTACTATCGCAAAAAAATATAGATGACAAAGACTTAATAAAAATTTTTCAGCTTCCAGACCGGAGATAGTTTCAAGAATGTATTTTTTTCCCTAAAGGAAGGAAAGTAACCAAAGAGTGCATTTGTGAAAAAAACAGTTGTTACATTTTGGAATACCACATTTTAGAAGATTTCATGGTCTGGGATATCCATATATTCTTTCTGCACATATTAGTAATTTACAGTGCACACATAGACAACTCTTAAATCTAATGCACATAGATAAAATTAACATTCTGCATCTAATTTAATTTGCCCTTATTATGTAATGAACTAAAGTAATTTGTATAAAGTAAACTTAACCATAACTTGATGCCTTAACTTCTTTACAGTCCGTAAGCATCGTACCACGATTCCAGACTTATTCAAAATTCGACTGGAAAAGAAAGGTATGACATTGCAAAATAACAGGCCCTGCAACATTACTCGAGTAGTTCGCTATCTTCACTAACATCTTTGACGTCACAAAGCGAGGCCTACACGCATGCGTATCTCTAGCGTAATGGCGTAATCAAAACATCATTCCCTGAAATACTGTCGCAAGACGAACCAAATCTCTGATCTTTTGTTCGAACACAAAAACAAAACAGAGCAGCTATTGGAAAATCCCCACTGCTCTTGCGCCATGAGGTATACCGGAGTATGTTCAGATTTTCTTTGTCGTGCTCTATTGGAAAATCACGATCTCTGTAGCGCGTTCTTCTGTCGGAATGGAATATTGAACTATTTCAACCTAACTAAGTTTGTTTAAATTAGTGCAAAAGAACCCTTTTTGCTCCAGGTTCAGTTTCAGTCGTATTAGATGCCGAAGAAAAGTTATCAAATGAACTTTAAATTTAGTTGCCAGCAAGACAAGGCAAATGCAGATCTCATCAATCCAAACTGGACAAGACCCTCTGGTAATGTGAAAAAATCTCATATCGCGCGAACAGCTTTCGCACTTTAAAAGAAAAGTTGTGACTCTTTCTCGTCGCGTTCGCTGGACCAGCTGAAAAAAATTAAGCATCTCTTTTATAGCTCAGAATACGCAAAGATTTCAACAGTGTAGACCACACAATCTTGCAATTGGTTTCAAAGCTCTAATTCCCCAACAGGGCTTTAGGGATCCAAGCCACAAGGGTTAGAGGCCTCCTAGGACACCAGTGAATTTTGACACATGACCTCCGAGAATCCATTAATTACTGTATCAAGGCACCGGGACACCGGGGCGTCAGGGCACCAGGGCACAGGATATCGGGGCTTCTTTTACCTCCTGCCCCCCAAACCCACAATCACTCAGTGCTCAATGCACCGGGTCCACCGATGTAATAAGAATTAAAAAGGAATCCTCCAGAAGTTCGAGTAACAAGTGGACAAGAGCTTTGTACCGAGTTTATCTACATCGTATAACAAACCTCTGTACGACTGTTTTAAATATCTTCTCAAAAGAAATTATTTCTAACAACATCAAGTATCGAAAACAATTGTTGAAGTTCATAAGAACACTTGAAAGTACTAGTAGAACGAAACTGATGTTGAAATTTTACCTGTGGTTACACAATTTTACTGATTCTTTCAATTTATTTTCTCGGGATTCCATGGGAAACTGTCCTTGGTGTTATTTCGGCCTACTATTTATACCTTTAGCTTTTAGGAAATGCAAAAAGGTTTATAATATACTCAAATTATTCTGTACTAGGTTTTTGGCACGGAAAACCAAAATGACTCGATCCCCCATCGGATTTCATCTTAACCTTTCTCTGTGCTTTGAGCTCTGGCTGCCTCCAAAAAGCGCTCCAGAGACTGCCCATTTGGATGCTTGAAAGATTGCATTCAGCTTCTGCTCAGTTGCAAACTTAACATGAAAACTGTTTTGTTGGGTGAGCATCGATAGTTTCCTCAGTGCCGGCCAGACTAATTATACACGTATGTGTAACTGGGCAACGAATAAGTTGAGAAGGGTATACAAGAACGTCCACACACCATTGTTCTTCATTCAACCTCCCCTTTGGCACATCTTTCAGTATAACCGGCGTTGAACTAGCATGCCAAGCGGGAGGGAGTAAGAATGCTTTCTTATCTGTTTATTGCAGTTGCTCTATGATTTTATTTGCAGAGACACCCAAGCTAGATTGCGAGTGGAATAACAAGTCGTATGCTCACAATTCTTCATTTAATCCGGTCGTTGGCAATTTTGGACCTTCTTACTGCGTCACGTGCTTCTGCAATGTAAGTTTATATATGGTGTAGCTGTATAGCACGTTAGTCTCTCCACGAACCCTCTATTTTTCTTGAGTTCGTTGAGATCGTAAGCAAAAGCAGAAGGAAGAAGGGAAACACCTTGTAGCAAAGAAAACACGTCTGAGGACAGACCAACACCACGCACACCTCTATTTTCTTTTTTTTACATCTCAATAACACGCAGTTTTAATGTTGTTTATTGCAACGATGGACCTTTTTACCAATGTTACACTTTTCCGAAGCTTTCGTTAAAACTAAAACAAAGCATCACCACTCGATTTATCACGCCAAATAAATAAGTAAACATACGAGGTGTCATAAGAATCTGTCGAAAACTCATGCATGAAAATACTTAAGGCAGCCCAAACGTTAGCCTGCGAGAGCATCCTGTTTTCTCGGTTCTTGTTTCACGCGGCGGAGACAAACGGCAGACGGAAATACGTCTGCGTTCGCATGCTACCCAAATGTATACGTATGAAATACCTATCGAATATATGCCAGGAGGACACGTTCTCCCTGCCATACATTTCTTTGTACAAATTGGCATGTTTGGGGCCCGGGGTAGACGCCCTTTTCACAAAAAGGCGTGCTCGTTGCATTGTACCTTTTGGGATTAAAAAAGCGGTTGGTACTGTCTCAGGGTGTTCAGCCTCAAAAGGTCCACAGCGGGAGCTTCTACAGTACCTTTTAGGGTACTGAGCCGAAAACGACATCACAGGATATTATGTGTTGTTTTAGAATTGGTATCTCTTACGGGTGAAAACTCTTCTAAGGCACGTCCACAAAGAAGGTACCATTTAGGGGTTCATTTCGAAATTTCCGACGAGCACCTCCGTCCTTTTTGTATCGAAGCCCTCCCCCCCCCGGATGAGTTTGGGGTCCCATATTTTCTTAAGTTTGCAACAGATTCTTTTGCCCCTTGGCATACATTTCTTTGTCTAAATTTGCAAGTGTTTTTTTTTTTATATCGCGAGCTTGAGACAAAGAGAAAAAATTCGAGTCCCTGACGGGATTCGGACCCATGACCTCACAGATACCGGTCGGGCGCTGAACGGAGGATCCCATTGTGAGCTAAGCTATTCATTTGTACAGTTCAAATGTGCATGTGTCCAAAATACTGCTAAGATTGGCAATGCCTGAAACGTGCCGTGTAGAGATGAGTAATGACAGATAGGAAATTTCCAACCTCGTTTCCAGGGCTTTTCCAGATTTCACAGGGAAAAGCCTTGGGAACGAGGTTAGGAAATTTCAAGTTGAACCGGGCGTAACCTGTTTACCGCGACCACAACATACCCACGTTACCACGTTACCCACGAATAAACAATCTAGCAAACAAACAAACAAAAATTACAGAGCAAGCGAACTTAAAAACCTGGTTACTTTTGTTTGGTCCTTTCCTGTTTCAGGCCAATGTAATAAAATGTAGAAGTAAATCATGTCCAACGAGTTACCCGTGCAAAGATCCAGTGTATGTTCAAGGAAAATGCTGTAAGGTGTGTGAAGGTAAGTCAGCACAAAATCTAAGGGACGCTTTCGAACTTTTCGTCCATTTCCGAATTACCTTTAGCCTCTTAAGCGGGAACAAACTAGTTAACTAAAATCCAAAAAAGTAAGCTCGCTTCCAACATCCACGACTTGCAGGGATTAGATTCACTAATGTAAAGTTGGTTAAGACGTATACATGTTTTCACTAGATTCCCCAGGAAATCATACAAACGGAAGGAACCTTTGCAGTGCAGGAAAGCACTGGCTGGTCTACGAGTATATAAAGATTCCAAGAAATCAACAAAAGAACGCGTCCGAAGTACGGGAACAATTCGCACTGGAGCACAAGGACCACGATACGGTGGAGATACACACCATTTACGCTAACATGACAGCAAAAGTTATAAAGACCACGAATACTACCAAAAGCCAGTTCCATGGAATTTTGAAAAAAAATGGCAAAGATTATAAAATCCTTGGAAAGATTCGTGAAGGTGAGTCATCGTATTTTTAATAGATATCTCAGGGTGAGGCATCATTGGTCAAAAATGTCAGTCGAGGAATGATGCATTTCTTAAAGGATCTCAGTCACAGTTTGCGCATATTGAAAAGTTTAGCCTCAATTTTCAAATTCGTCGTTTGCAATCCGTGTCAATCTTCTCCATCCTTAGCCATCCTTGTTCCTTTATGGTTTATAATTATCTCTTTGGTGTTTTTCTATCTTATTAAACTGTTATTTTCAGGTTTCCTACCATTTAAATATTATTTTGTATGTGGCCAAGTTAACTCAAAATACCGTGACTGAGCTCCTTTAAGGTACCTAGCCGTGATTAGGGTCATCACGAAACGCGAGTAGCGTTGCCTGACGACCCCCTAATAACGGCTGCGAAGGAGCATAGGAAATGATGGGCTAAGAAATTTTCACTGATAGCTTTGAAATCTCTAAGATCTGCCTAATAAGGGCTCCTTCAAACACATTCTGGTAAGGCAGCTGCTTGGTGGTATTATGTTTCAGAATCACATTCTGTGAGGCTATTAGCAGGGTTTTCTTTCGGAGGTCTCTAGTTCCACTCCTCGTCTAGCTTGTGAACAGACTCTCTAGTCGAGGATGGGGCGAAGAGAAAGCAGAAAGAAAGAGGATAGAAGAGAGAGGAGGAGAGAGGAGGAGAGAGAGAGAGAGAGAGAGAGAGAGAGAGAGAGAGAGAAAGGAGATAGGGGAGAGCCTCCGACGCCCCACCCAACTCCCCCCTCGGCCACTTCACTCTCACCCAGTTCCTTCTCTGCCTTTCCATCCGCGGTCAGACTCTTCCAGCCGGCGCCTGTTCATAGACTACTCCTCGTTCACTCATTCGACTAAATGGTTCTGATTTTGTCTGTTTCAGTTCAGAAAAACAAGATCAAGACTTGGGAGCAACGTGCCTGTCATCACACTCAAGGCTGTATACATACAGTGCGAAAAATAATGAAGGGACTCTATGAACGTGTGAGACGGTGCGGCGATCATGCCACATCAGGGCCCCCACAAACACTCCTTCAACTTCAACCAGAGAATCCTTGAGATCTTAACCTGTGCGACGATCGACAAATTAAACATGGAGTACGTTTTGACAAATGAACAAAGCCGCTGTACGTAACCATCGCATTAGACCACCACATCGGTACGTGTTTTAACAAGAAACCCTCGTGGTAGTTCATTGACAGTTTTAGGCCTTTCTCTGAGACGTTTCTGTGAGCGCAAGAAAAACAACAAGCAAACAAGGAAAATAGACATTTTTTCTTAGAGATAAGTAGTTTGGAAACTTTACCATAGATTTGTATAGCTCCTGTAAATAACGAGTTTATGTGGGCTTCTTAAACGACTTGGCAGAATTTGTTGCCAACAGAAGAAATTCGTAGGCAAAACGTATATCCGTTGATTTGATTATAGAGCATAAGGAATGTGAGAATAAAACCTGTAAGATTTTATCATGGCATTCGTTAGCATAGCTAATCAGATGAACTCGAGTGGGATTCAAAAGCAACTCACACGAGCGGGGCAAACGCAGTCCCCCGTAGCTTGCAGTGGAGGCTCATGCGGAGGAATATTAATAAAAAGCGATAAATCCCATTTGCATTGAAAGGACTCCCCGCATTAGCTTCGGTTGCAAGCTAGTTCCAGTCCAATGCCGAGAATACGAATAAGGTCTACTGTTCCATACTGTACATCGCTGCTATCTGCATCCAACAGGATAACAAGGGCATGATCAAGGCAAATGAAACGCGAACCAAGACCACACACTGTTCTTACAGTTTGGTTCCGCACAAAAATGATACTTAAGGCGCGTTCCTTTGAGGTCATCTGGATCAGGATCAGGGATTCAAGATCACTCGAATCATACATCAAAGGAGATGATGAATCCGTAACCAGAGTGGATTCATCTTCTCCTTTGGTGCACCATGATCTGAGTGATCTTGGATCACTGATCCTGATCCAGATCACCCCAAAGGAACGCACCCTTAAAGTTCCCTCCCTGATCTCTTCTCTTTTCCTGTTGTTGTTCTTAACATTCCAACCAGTCTTGCCGTCTGTCAGTCATTTCATCCTGTTTACCTTACATTGTCGTGTTTTGGCTTGTGCAGTATTGAATTTTCACTTAAAACGGGAACAAATTTTACATGTTTCACTCTGAAAACTTGTGTGACAGAAAGCATTTACGAAAGTATAATAGCTGTGGACGAGACCCTAGTTCAGTAATTATCAGGGGCGGATCCAGAAAATTCAGAAAGAGGGGGCCGAGTCCCCCCCCCCCCC